TCCCATGGCTTGCAATGCTGGGGGCTCGTTCGGCTTACACGACCTTTCGCGGATCTTTCGTGTGTCTTTCGCTGATCTTTCACGGATTTTCGTAAGAATTCTGAGACTGATCCTGTGCCTCAGAAAGACTGGCAACCCTTGAAGCATGCCCGCAGACTGCAAGAAGGGAAAAAGTGATATTTGAAAGTAATTAAGTGAAAAAATCTGAGATCTCTTGAGATCTTGATCTGCCGCGTGTATTGGCAATTTCTTGCTCCAGTCTAGCCTATGTCAACTCGAAACATTTTTTACCTTGGGCCTGTTGAACACAAGCAGGCAAGCCTCACATGCCTCAAGCAGACACCAAGAATCCGACATCCCTGCTTCCTCTCTTATTCATCAACTGTCGTTCTGCTCGAGTTGCGCAAGCTCTTATTCCGTGTACACGCTCTGGTAAACACTCCCCGGGCACACCGTCTGCCCAATGGATGCTCATGTGCCGACCTGTGGACAAAGCAGAGAGGCAAACAACATACAAATGGTGCCGCACATAACAGCGTCAAGCGCGCCTGCAAAGACACTTCCTTCGTGCACCTCACCAGCCAATCTGAGACGAACCTGCACTTTGCTTCTTCTGGATGCTGCTAATGTTTTGTTGCATCGGGTACCTTACATGCTGCTCTTCTTCAGATGTGTTCCCTCACTAGCATAGGAAATTGCCGCAAACTGTTCACAAGATCTCAAACCAGGCCAAGCCCACAAACAATCTTGCTCAATCATGTCCGTCTCTCAGGAAGGCTACCTTTGCACATGTACCTTATACGAACTTGCCTGTTTGGCATTGAGTTTGAATCCGAAGCAATGGCTATGGAATAATCATGGCACTTGAATCGGCGCCTTGTTGGGTCCTGCCTCTTCCATGAGGCTTTCATCACCTCTGAAAGCCTCGCCCCAGCGTAAGCGGCCTCAGCTGACAGCCACGCCTTCCAGTCTACTGCAGACATGCAGAGCGGTGCAGGGCTTCTAGCTCTTGGAAAGCACTCCCATGAAGAAGCCGTCCTGTTTCGAACCGAGTCTCCAGAATGGAAGCGAGTTGGAGCTGCATGGAAGCAGGTGCCGCGCCTGGCGAATCCATTTGCCTTGGAGCTGATCCTGCGGCAGTTGGCAGATGACACATCACAGGCTGGGAACGACAGGTATGAACGGGTCGATTTCCTATGTGACAATACCGACTATCCAAGAACATCGTTCAGACCCGGCAAGTCTCATGCAGGAGATGAAAAAATATTTAGGATGAACAGCTGGAATGGCATGGGCCAGATAGATTAGACAATGTTGGCAACTTGGCATCAGAAAAGTTCTTGAAACCAATGCTCGTGCTCATGCCATCCCAGGCCTAGGCCAAACCACAAGCAATGCTACATCCCGTCAACAATTGGGATCCACTCCTCTGACCCAAACTGAGACTAAGTGCGCGTCCAGAAGCGTGCCAGTTGCAGTGGCCGCCCGTGTGACAACCAAGTCTTCCTAGCCACCGAAAACAGATTCACAGTGTGATGCCTCTTCCTCCACACATCTGAAGCGGCCGATTCCGGCGTCCTCACACCTCGTACTGGCTAGCACTCAACACCTGGAGCTTCTGCTTCTCCGTCCTCGCTGAAGACTACATCCTCCGTCCCCTCAGGCAGGAGACGTTGCACACAGTCATGCTGAGCCGCCCTGAGGTCAAAACCCCCCAAGTCCAACCTGCCCATGGCCTCACAGAGTCACCTGGCAACATCTGGCAATGCAAAGGCCTTCTGGCTGGACGAAGAATGTGCCACCCTTGGGCGCCTGTATCAGAGCACCGACTGCAGACAGCAGTGCCCATGGCCGATGCCTGCCTTCATTTAACGTAACATACTCTGACGCTCGGTGACCTCTGATAAGGCTATCCCAGGCAACCAGCTAATCATGCTTCATGTCTCCGCCGCTAAACTTTCACTACAAGCGTCGCGATTCATGATTTTGCCTGTGACGTATGAATTGGCTTCGGGCATTAAGCCAAGCAAAAACCAGGGCGTAGTGACAACTGGGGCAGACCGTTAGCTCCAGTCACTCACTAACACTTTACAGCATTGCTGCTTGCGCATGCGAATGTGATGTGACTGCACGTCGAAGTGAAACAAAGGAGCCTAATCTGCTCACAGATTCTCACAGCAGCGCGCACCAGGTCGAGCCAGGCTTCCTGAGCACAAGCCCCGGTTCACAGAGTTCACAGTGTGGTAGCTTATCACGAAAAGGATAGGCCCTCACGACATCTTTGTCCAGCTCGTGGGGATGCCGTTTAAATCCTCTCGCCCCACGCAACCGAAAAACAATGCGAATGATAAAAACTCCATCTGCATGATTGGTCGTTGGGGGTAATTGGGGGGCAACATCTGTGAACCCTTGGGTGCTCCTGGCCAGGCTCGCGGAAGTACCTCGCTCTGGTCCCTTTTACCATCTGCAGTGGTTCAGCAGGCTTCAGCAGATTCAATAAGCATAGGGCAATTACCAAACATTTCATTCTGCAACAAATGGCTTGCCACTGGACTGAATGGACACCGCTGGAAGTCTGGCCGCCGTTCTAGGCATTCCTCTGCTCCATGAAGTACATAACAGTTCAGCTACTTCCACACCCTCATGCCGGTGCAACTCAACGTTGTTGGCTGGTTTAAAGCTTCTGTCTGACTATGAAGACTGCCGGCGCACGCCCTGGTCATCAGAACCAGGATCTGCTGAAGCTGCACCGCTGAAGGCGCTGTCCCCCATCTCAGAGCAGAAGCATGTTGAGATTGCAAACTCTTGCCCCGCGCTTGCAATTGCCGGCAGCAATCCGTTTACAAAATGCTACCAGTCTCCAATGGAACTTGGTTGGCAAGCAAGACAGCTAGCTGCCAGATTTCAGTGCATTGCCCAAGGCATACAGTGTGGAGCGACGAGCAAAAACAAGCGAATTCAATCTAGTCTTGTTCGTTTCGCGCACTCTGCAAGCCAAACTAGGAGAACATAGGAGAACCGTGTGAGAGCGCGATTTAAGCCAAGATGCGCAGACTAGACACTGCCCGCGAGAGCGCGATTTCTAGGCAAAACGGTAAATGCTCCACGCGAGAGCTCGATTTCAAGCCAGAATGTGAGCACACCCCACACGAGATTTCATGCCAAAATGCCAGGCCCTGCACGTGAGCACAATTTCATGCCAAAGTGCGAGGCTTCATGCGATGGAGACGTTATGCTGCTAAGATCACTGTTTAGGGCGTAGAGTAGGACGGCTTGCGCAGCCTTGAAAAGAAGCCGCGGCGTTTCGGGGCCGCGGCACCCACATCTGCACACTAACATGATGATCGGATGACATGCTTCTCGGACCTACCTTCAGAAAAACACTCTTGCTGGCAAACATCAAACAAGGCGGTGGGAGAATACTCTCTTGAGGTAGCCTAGCACAGTTTTGAAAACGAGGGGGTTGGGGGCGCACACAGCCCCCGGGTATTTAGCCGGTTATTTGCAAAACACAGTAGTCAGATGTCATGCTGCTCGGACGAAACTCCTGGAAAATACTCTTGCGGGCGACTTTTGGCAAATATGGTGAACACTTACAGTTCAGGGCTTTGTGTTTAAAGTCTTTGCAAACAAGGTGACGGGGCCACCCGCTTTCAGCTTAGCTTGCACGGCCTACTTCTGATTTCGCTGGAGCCCTCAACGAAAAGTCAAGCTACAGAGAGGTTCACTGGGAAAATCTGGGAAATACGGGAATGGGGTCTGGGCTATCCTGCAGAGATCGTTCGGGGATTGTTTTGAGCATCGGTTGCTGAAACCTGGCGCAAGGCAGCAACCCAATCTGTTGCTGTTGCTTCTGTATTTCAGGGCATCGCTTTGAATATACATCGGGAAGGCAAGAAACAGCGAGCAAGAGGCAGAAAGCAACCAGCAAAAAGCAGAAAGCAACCAAAAAGACAAGCAGTAAGCAAGAAACATAGAGCAATAAGCAGGAAGCAAAAACCGAACGCGACAACCTTGAAGCAAACACATGTTCGGTCGGTATGTAAACTCTCGACACCGAAACCCACTGGCTAGAGCACAAGGTCGAAAGAATCGTGTACATGGTATTTGGGACACTTGCCCATCCCACCTGCGAATCCAGAAAAACGTGACCAAAACGCGTTTTCTCGTGGGATGCGCTGCGGACAGAGATTTCTGCTTTCACTAAAAGTTATGGTTTTGGCGTGGATGCTCTGGTAATGGCACCCACCTGGGACATGAAAGCGATTGGTGTTGTGGCATGAATGCTCCGGCGCACCTGGAACATGAGCCTTATCGCGGTTTGGGCATGGCTGCCCAGGTAAACGTACGCACAACAGGCTTTCTCAGTCCGCCCGGAGCACTGAGCACCACCAAAGTTGCTTTGGAAGCAACCCCAGAAGCTTGACCCCGACTTCACTAGACATAATCTGACAGAACACCACCTTCGTGAACACCTCTAAGACATCGTGATGAAAATGTTGGAGCTGCAAATTGTTAGTGTCGTAAAACCATTCCTCCATGAACGACTCAATGGAAAGGCTTGCAAACTCGAACTGTAAATAGGACAACCAAACACACAGAACGGAAACGTCCCCATCTCTTGTAAAGGTCTGCATGTCATGCTCGCTGTGAAGCCAACCAATAAGAACTGCGCACTGAGATGGAATACTAACATGAAAGAATTTACCCAAATGCCAATCGACGCTCTAGCGAAAAAAAATCTCTCCACTGCCGCATATCACATGGTTTCTCCAAAGGATGGGACAGCCTGATATTATCACCAATGAGCCGGCCGAGGTTATGCCAATGGGTTGAGCCACTTCCCCTATTAGGGAGCATCGACGATCCCCACATGTCCTAGCTGTTGTGTGAGATATGCGCCCACACACCCGGTCTCGCCTGCCTAACCCAAAGTACAGCATACACCTGAGTGATGTCCCTGGGGCTGTTTCTCAGCAAACGACCCAGGTAGCTCCACTTACGTTTGAACCATATGTATCCCCACTCATAGGTATGCCAATGCGAAAGAAGCAGCAAGACCGTACATCGTCTGAGCATATTCAAGTGCATAGCAGTAGCATGAGGAAGGTCATCAGGGACGAACAACCCGAGCATGAGAACAAACAGGGTGACTTGCCGAGACGCTCCGCTCCAGCTGAGGCAACACTGCCCTCGGAAAAGGTGATGTCGCGAGCGACCCGGAGAACACTGGCATGGCTCATGATTTTAGTCTTCTTGACATTCAATTGTAGACCCAAGGGCAGGAGCATTTCATTCACATCCCTAGTTCATCTGTGAGATTGGTCCCAACTGATGAGGTGGAAGAGCATATCATCAACATGCGCCCAACCATACGAGTCATGCAAGCTCCGCTCCCCTCCCCTCTCTGTTTCCAGCGGGAGTTGGGTTGAGAAATCGCAAGGCCCACGACATGGCTGAAGAGTAGTGCCGAGTGAGAGCCACCCTGCTGAACACCCAGTGTTTGAGATTGATGCCACGATTCTCCGCGCCAAGCAAATTGGAGACAGGGATGCATGAGCAGCTGCACTAAATGGAGAGATTCGCCCCCTAGTTAGCTCAGCAGGACCGTTTTTGAGGATGAACTTGGATACTTTGGCTTGCGAAATGCTGAACGCGGCCTTGACATCACAGCTCAAGCAGATACCATACATATGCTCGCTGCTCTCTTTGGAAACACAATCGTACGCACTTGGAACACGGACGTCCTTATGGTTTGGGCATGGCTGCTCTGGTAATCATACGCAGTTGGGACATGAACATTATGAATGGTTTGGGCATGACATTTCTACCAAAATGCGGTCAGCGCCACGGTTTCGTGCACGTCCCAAGCTGTCGAAGTCATCGAAATGGTGCGAAGGTTAGCAAATATGTCAACAATGGGCTCCAGCGACAACACATGTTCTGGCCGCACATTGTTGGAACTCGCGAATGCTGACGGCACCAGCATTTCGCGCGTACTGCGACCGTAACCGAAATACTGCAGTGCGAGCCGGAACCCAGTTTTCGCGTGTTTACATACCGACGGGCCCCAAAACCTGAGGGCAAGCCAAGGCCAACAAAAGCTAGTCAGGCTTTAACACTGGAGGATAACGGGAGGAGGGAAGGTGGATGCCGGCAAGAAGCACAAACCTCGTGAATGGGCCAAGACAATCCCAAAACATCGCCAACTCCACTACGCTTTCCAATCACACTTCCCACTCGACGCTCCATTTCACTCCACACCACTCAGCAGTTGCCAAACCCATTCTCCGCTTCACTGCAATATCCACTGCACATTCCAGTCCACTCCCGTCCACCCTCAGGACTCACGTCCACTCCATTCTCCTCTCCATTCCACCTTTGCCAAACTTCGCACTCCACTTTCCGCTTCAGCTTCCACCCTACAGTCCACCTCACTTTCACCGGGCTTTCCACTACACGTAGGCTTGACATGACCACACATATTGCAAGTAGCCGCCAAGGCTGAGGCCAATCGTATCACAAGTAAACACGACTGGGGAAGTAGGGAGGTCGGATGCGACCACAAAAAGCGACGTCCTGACCAGTCTGATGCAACAGCCAAGCTTCGTCTCATCATGACCGTGTAAGGGCACGGAACACCTCGAATGAATATGGAGGATTCGATGCTAAGCACATGTGTGAACTAAACACTGCACACAAGGCATGGAGGCGCAATTTAAGCCACCAAGATCCACCGAGCATAATGTTGCTCGTACCGTGGCCATGCATATATATATATATTGAGCAGAGTCAGCGCGAGTAAGTCAAGTAACCCATGAGGGAACGTATGAACGTATGAACGTATGATTTCATGAGCACATCACATCCCATAGCATTCATGTGATTTCATGTGGTTATCCCACAAGAACTTTGCTACGGGAGCGGCCACTACGGATGGAATCGAGAGGCTTGATGCAACCAGGGTTTGATGCAACCACAAGCGCGATGCGACCGGGACCGCGACCATGCAAGGGCAGCGAACGCTACAGAGGGAAGTAGAGAAAGTCGAAGCAATTATCGAGTATGGCGCTGCTCGTACCATGGCCACGCAAGGGTAGTGAGCACTGTGAGTCAATTTATAGAGGTTTGATGCAACCACCCAGCATCTAGTTGCTCGCACCATTGGCCACGACCTTACAAGGGTAGTGACCACTACAAAAGAAGAAGGCGTGATGCAAGCACCAGCATGACGCCGTTCATATCACGGCTTCGCACACACAACAGAAAAGGTAGGGAGATTCCGTGTAACGATCAGGCAGAATGTCTTTTGCCATAGAACTATGCCAGGGTAATGGACATGACAGGAGGAGTAGGCAGGCTTGATGCAACCAGAAAGCGTGACTTTGCTCGTACCGCGACCATACAACTGTAGTACCACCAAAGGGAGAGGGAGGCCTGATGCAACAATTGAACAATTGGTCATGATGATTTTGGTACCATGGCCAACGGCGGTCCGTGTCATTTCAGGAGTATGGACAGTAGGGAGACTTGATGCAACCACAGCATGATGTTTCTCGCTGCATGGCGGCCACACAACCTTAGTGAACACTACCAAAGGAGAAGGGAGGTTCGATGCAAGCACCAAGCATGATACGACCGATACTACACACGGAGTCGGGGCATTTAATACAACAAGCAGTCATGACATTACTCGTTGCCAAGCAAACATGATGTTATTCCTACGAATGCTCTCCCTGATCATGTCACACGCATCTCCCCCCAAAAAAAGCAAAGCTTCCTGTGAAAGAATCACCTTCAACCCCTTTCGACCCCCGCCCTCTCCAAATCCATGAGTTTCCTGTGGAAGAATCACGTCCCCCTCCCCCTCATGGCGTGACATATATCTGTGATATACCACATGAGATATAGTAAATGATTCTTTGCTTTCCAACCCTTGAAGGCTGCTACTGCTAAAGCAAGACGAAACTCAAGCGTAGATCCGCTGGCTTTCAGAGTTTCGTGACGAGAAGCCAAGCCATCAGGCACAAAATTAAGACCAGAAAGCAACAAGCAGAAAGCACGAGCCAGGAAGCAGCGGATAGCCAGAAGCAAAAAGCAGCAAAGCAGCAAGCCAAAGAACCAAAGCAGGCTCAAACAACACTCAAACATGCTTTCCCCAAGCAAAATGGGATGGCTGACATCTGGGTGCAAGACGTCAACACCTGCCCAAGGCCGCTTAAGACACCAATGGTTGGCTGGTCGCCGCTTGTTGACCTTGGGACTCACCGAGTTCGTCTACCAAAATGGCTCCCAGTTTGCCAAGCAAGCAAGCGACAAGCCACGGGCGCATGACGTCTCGCATTTACACTCTTGGATCCGCCGCGCAAGGGTCCGTTGCAAGAACATCATGACTCCCAAACTTCCAACCGAGGGATGTCGGACTCTTTCCATCAATGCTGAGCTTGCTACAGGGACCGCAGCATGACTTTGTCAAACAAATCTGTCTCCGCCTGGCATGTGCTGTGCGCAGGAGCTGAAAGCGCTGTGCTTCAGCAGCCAAGTGAGCTCCGCTCCTTCGGCTCTGCACGAGTCAAAACAACCTGGCCACACGCGCAGGTTGCTAACCTAGCTTCAGGCATCTTCAGGATACATCGTCATGGGCAATAGACGAACTCGTGAAGAAAGGTTGCACCAGCACGTTTCCGCGCGTCTGTTTGTACGCGCAGCCCAAAACCTGCAACCGACCACATGCATTCTTGCCAGAACCCCGCAACCCACCCAAAGGCTTCTCAGGGAGCAGCATCGTGGTAAAAGCCATTCCGGTCAGTTAGCAAAGCTCGGCCTGGAGTCGAGAAGCGCTGTGACGATAAGAGAGATTTTCCAATTGTCCTTCTGGACTCCTTCTGGTCAAAATTCGTCTGTCCGAAAGACAAGAAAAGCTGACAAGGCGCGTGCCTTCGTTGCGGTGGACAACCACAACCAGATCTGGCCTTGGGACCGTTCGAAGGCCCTCGCGCCACTGACATGTGCAATCCATCTTCCGCTGATACTGTGTTCTACTTCTGTTTGCTTTTGTCACCTACACACACTGAAGATCTGCATGCACGCAATCTATGTCAGACTTGAACCTTGGCCTGGCAAGCTAAGTTTTAAGGTTGTTGCTGGCAGAGCGGAACAGAATCGAAACCGATCTCTGGAGAATTTCTCGGGCTCCCCGGCTTTCCCGGCAAGGCTGCAAAGCCACGAAGCTCTGCCTTTTGCAGTAGCCTCTCGCGCACCTTCAGAATCAGCAACCATGACTCAACAACAAGGCCCTAGCCAAGCATCTCATGCAATGCATCAGTAAGATCAATGAACATAAAGAAAACTTTACCTACAGACCTTGGTCCATGTGAGCAACTGTCGGCATCGCATTCCGCTATTTCATGGGCTTTCCCTCATCATGCTTGTAACTGCCAACTGCTCCAGTAGACCCTGCAGAAACCGGAGAGTCGTTGATGTTGCTAGAGTCAAGGATTAAACGCTCGACAGCTGCGCATGTTTTCGATTTTTTTTTGGGATCTTGACTCATCTTGACATGCCCGCAGGGCCCTGCACGCTGCTGTATGGAAAGATGTCCGTGAGCACTGGACCTTGGAAGGGCGGGAGGCCTTGTAGCATTGTAGCATTGAGCGACTTCACCTCAGCTTGTCTAAGGGCTGCACTCAAGTCATTGATCTCTTGCAGCTTTAAACTGCACACCTGTGTGACTATATGAGGCAGCACGCCATGGTTCCAATGCGGTCTAACTGCATCAACCATGTCAGCACTGCCAACACTTCCAACTTCTCGGCCCTGGCAAACTGCAGGACAAAGCTCTGAAACATGTTGTTACCTTCGTGATGTTACATGCTCTGGCCGAATTGAGTTTGTGAGTGAGCCTTAACATCACCACCGTACTGCTTGAGACCAAGGATGAGGCAAGCCGTGCGAACATGTGTGAAGTGTGCATTTGCCTTTGCTCGATCTTATCCCGGCGGAGGAAGAACAAGCCATCGCTCCTCAAACCGACACAGGAATCAAAGCCGATGATCCTGTTCAGGGGCCTTGTGTGACCTTGGATCATGTTCACTTCAAGCCCCGATCCTGAAGCCCAAGGCCTGATCACACTCACCGCAGACCACGCGACCTGCCGCCTTGATTGCGACAAAGTTTTCACGCGTCGACAGCAAGAGGGGACCCTCTAAGACTTTACGAGTAGGCAGCCCGGCTTCTCCTCCACCCACATGCAACGTGCGAAACCTGTGTACACAATGGGCTTGTGCATGCTGATCTGCACCGCCAACTACGCTGTCACGGGAAAGTACAGTTGCAGGCCACCTCTTGTTGCGACCGTAGCTTGTGGCAACTGCTCTGACATGGTACGTAGTTACACTAAGAGCTTAGCAAAATGAGCGGCGAAGAGAGGGAAGAAATGCATATGTGCAGGGCGGGTCGACGAAAACCGTGGTTTATTCTGCGTACCACCTGGGCACCGGACACAAAGGAATCATCTCTGGAATCCACGAAGCCCTCTGACCTACCAGGGTTGTGCCGGGTTTCCCCACTTGTAGGACAGGTGGGTGCATCTGCGGCCATGGCGTGGCAATGCATGTACCACAAACGCACCTGGCCATGCTGATGCACTTTCCAAGCAAACGTACACTTCAAACTCCCTGGCAGTGCACAGGCCTGAATCGCAACGGCATCTCCTGCAGCGCCAGAACAAATCATCAAAACACGCAGCCAAGTCAACACAGTATTGGGCGCCCGTGGGCAGTAGATGATTGTCCCACCATGCTTTCTTCAAGCTAGCTGGCACACCGAACTACCACTTAGGTCGTGGTTCTGACTTAATTCGGCAAGCTCGCAATGCAGTACGATCATCTTCTTTTAAAATGCATAAAGCCAGCAACACTGGCCGGATTTTGCCACAGAACGCGGTGAACCCAAAAGGGAACCATAGCCATAGCTTGGCAGGGCATCTCCTTGGGAGCGCGCTTCGTCCTGAATGCTGCGCTCAAGATGAAGTGACATTCAACTGAAGGGGCAAGAAGTACACTGTCCTCGGACTCCTTTCAGCATCTGAAACTGGCACATCCTGGGCTTGATCGGGATGCAAGTCTTTACATCAGCTCACCTGATTCCACTGAGCTGCTCCCTGAACTTGTCGGCTGATGCCTAGGATACAGCACGGAGCTGGAGAGCGCCGGAGAGCTAGATGCACAAGCTGGGGGGCGGGCCTGTGCCAGCTCCCAAGCCCTCGTCGGGCGCCACCCTGCCGCACAATAGGCTAAGCCACAAACCGCAGACTGTGTCTGAGAGTCATGGGAGGCGCGCAAGTCGAAGCTTCCGCTGCTGGGCCCCGGGTTCGGCAAAGGCCATGGATCGGCAGGCATAGAGTGAGAACCTGGCGCAGGCCAACGCAATGGGAATCCATTCAGAACCTTGGAAGACCTGCCTCATACGCCGCGCAAACCAGCCTAGGGCAATCGTTGCATTCGTTCTCCGCATGAGTGCAAGGCAAGACTTGAGACTGGCAGCCTTGCAAAGCTTGCATCTCATACGCTTCCACGACAACGGCATTGTCCGCAACCCAGAACCCGGTGATAGATACTAGATCATGTCAGTCGCGTTTCTTGATCTTCGCCATGTAGGCAATGGTTCATGCACTTTGGTTTGCGGCCTCTTGCTGGCAATTATAAGATTGAACGCTTGAGCCGTCCAATGCCAGGAAGTCGCGCTGCTCAACTTGGCTTCATGCATGTCCTGTGATGCCACAAAATGGATCATCTTGCCCTGCCTTTAGCTGCCGCTGTCCCATCCGGGCAACTTTTCCACCTACCTCAAAACCCTGCGACACCGTAGACATATTGTAGGTCTCAAGTTGCTTTCCACATTCGTCCGACCACTTCTCTGTACAGCTGGCCGTGAAGGAAGCACATGCATATGTTACATGATGCGCCTTGGCTGAGGATCTGAGGAGGTGAAAGCTTCCGGGCGCTGACTTTGTCAGCCACTAGCTAGCTAAGTTGAGGCGGATCGCCTTGCACAGCTGGCATTGTAGACTTGCAGCATTCAGTGGAGGAGATGCAGAGGAGCGAGTAGAGTGAGGAGGGAGGAAAACGGATCTTGAAACACCCGACGAAAGCTATCAATGAGGCCCCAACTCTGCACTGAGCTACTGGAGGCAGGTCTTGGGCTCTGCCTTCTGCACAAGATTGCGAGAACGAGTCCTGACAGGTAGGTGTGGCCGGGCCTCTGCCGCCTGGGCCGCGCTGCTGCCTCCGCGGCAGCCACCGCCATGGCCTTGGATTTTTTCTGCTGCGCGAGTGGGGCAACCACAGCTGGAGAGAACCTGATGCAGTGCCTTCCATCTGGCAACGCACTTGTCCTCTCACTCAAAGCTCTGAGTATCGCTGAGTCGGCTGCCGCTGAAAGCTCGGCAGCCTGACAAGGCATGCTGGTTGCCAACTCTCTCGGGTACGCGCTGCGTTCCAAAAAGCTCTCCTCTCGTTTGGCACGCTCGACCACCTCAGGACGAAACTCGAGGCTCAAAGGCAGCACAAAGCGGTGGCCATTCATCTGCACTTATCTTGGGCAGGGTTGTGCTGAAAGATCACAAGATCCTGTTCTATCATAGGTTCGTCGTGCATGGATGGCTGGCGACGTTGACACTAGGATTTGCATGCGAGGCCGAGGCAAAGCTACTCAGTTAACTCAACCATGAACTCAGGAGCATGCCGGGTCAGAGGGGGAACGCCAGAAGCTCAGGAAGCTGGCGCCAGCTCTTCGGGAAATTACCATCACCACCTTTCCAGCTTAAACCCCATCGCCGCATGTTTGGTGATGTCTTATCCCCTTGGTCTGCTTTTTGGCACCCATGGCATGCTGCCTTTCCCTGGGCTCACTCAAGCCACCCGTTTGGAGGCCGCTCTCCGCACCTTCCGACCTGCATCCGTTTCTGAACCCTGGGCCCTGGATGACCTCTCAAATTAGAACGCTTTGCATCTGTTGCTTTGGAGGGCTACACTCTGCGCAGTGCCATGCAGCACCCCAGTGCGAGCACGCGTAACCTCCACACCAGCACCCGATGTAGACTGGAGCGCGTCTAAGCATGCTACAGGCAGATCTGCAACTGTTTGATCAAACTCCTTCAAATCATAGAAGTGAGCCAGATAGGCCAGACACTCATACATTCTGCGGTCGCGTCCTCTTCCCGCCTCTTCGCTCACAAACATGTTGTGACTGTGGTTTGAACTTTGCTCCCTAGAGCCGTTAAAGAATGCAGGGCTGTCAGGCCAACTGCGTCTGCTCCGATGAGGCCTAGACCTCAGGAGGCCGGTGCTTCCGGTTCAGAAGGAAGTGCAGCGCCTCATCAGGAAAGTGATGGAAAGTGGATGCAGGTCACCGGCCGGAGGAGATACTCCGAGACGCCTTGGGGTCCTTGTGGATGCCGCTCGTCTCCTCGGAACTGACGGGTTCGATGCAGTGCGCATCATAGCGTGACACACTGAGCACTGGTCCAAAGTTGCATTAGCATCGAGGGGGCGCATCTGACACAAATGCAAGAACGAGGGCTACTGAGTCACACACATGAGGATTGGATGTGACAAGTCCAAACACCAAACACCAGCTCAATGCAGTGAAATGCCACAAAGTCATTGTTATCGCTGGCTGCGTAGGCCACCGACAGCTGCGCACCCGGCAGTGTACCAAAGAAAGTGTAACCAACAGCTGAACAGTGCACTCAAGCACAACACACAGGTCGTAGGGCCATCTAACCCTCCGGCGCCACCCCACACTCACATGTTTGGCAATTACTGTCATGTCCCTTTACTTGCTCTGCCGTGCTTGCAATCTCAAGGTTTGACAATTGAAAATCCTGTTTCTGAATGAGCGTTGGTGGTAGTGTCAGCCCCTTGCACCTACCCTGTCTCCCTGTTGAAGCCAAACCAAGCTCCTGATCTTCAGTCGTCGAACACAGTGTTCTCAAAGCTCTGCTTGTGCGTGCCACGCTGAAGCACTGGCTTTTGCGCAAAACTTAGTACACAGAATGCTGGTCTCGACCAGGAGTTGCAGAGGTTGCGATTGTAACGTGTTGGTTCAGGGGGCTGAGAGGTAAGACACATGCATCTTGCAAAAAATGAATCATGGCAGCTGCTGCCTTGTTCAATTCTGCCTGCATGTGAAGACTCCGCGCCTTGTGACATTCGTACTGTTTCTGCGACAAGCTAAGGGTTTTCATCACCGCAAGCGCGACTTCAGGTCGAAGCACTCCCGCGGCGACCCGGTCGTCTTTGCAGCGGGCTTGTCAAAAAATCCAACACACCAGAAAAACTGTAGGCCACAGTCTCGTTGCGGGCTGCTGCAGCAAGAGACTGGAGGTGCGCCAGCCCTTGAGTGAGCACCGCTGCGCCGCTCACCCTGCCATGTTTCCACTGTCGGAGTATGCCATTTGTGGCCGACAATTTCAGCTTCTAGGCATATTGCAGCTTGGGGCCTAGAAGCGCGCGAGCTGAGCATGACCTTTACAGGCTGGTCTCCGCGTTTCAGAAGTTCTCTCGTCAAAACAGCTCTTATAAATCTGGGCGGGACAGGTTTTTTTGCAGTTGCGCTCTAGCATTGGAAATTCTCAAGTATGCAATCAAGCCTTCGAAGGACTGCCCACATTGAACCTTTACTTCCTCGTGCGCATCGAGGGCGACCGTACGACGTCAAGAAATGAAGCTTGCTTGGCGGGTGTTCTGCTTGCATGGCATTGCTGCTGCTGGCAGATGCCAGGAACGACGACTGCAAGTACCGGCTTGGCACGAGGCTGCTTGCTGCATCAACTGAGGTTTGAATAGCCAAGCTGCGCGGAACAGAAGGCGACCCTTCTCGCCACAGCCCACCGCTTCACGGACGCGCCGCAGCAAAGCCTGCTGAATACAGCTGCATCATTTTATCATGCTATATCATGCTCTGCATTGATCTGCATTTCCAGCATTTCCAGCCTCAACAGTCATGGAAGTTGAGACTTGAAGCTCCATCAAGCCGCCGGTGTCAGCCTGGAACTTGTGAAGGCATGCGACATCCACTCTTTGTATCTCTCTGTCACCCTGCTGTACCACTTCCCAGGATTTGAGTCACAGCTTGGGCTGACGCCTGTGTACCATCGTGGGCAAAGTACAAAAGCCTGTGACCCAAGTCATCGTGAACGCATGAATGCAGAAGTCCGATTGGTGAACATTGCAAAATAAGAGACACCAATAAAACAGGACAGTAACTGGCCAGGCAAATCTGCTACATTGCTACATTTCACTCCCGCTTCCACCCAAGCAGACAAGTCGTCGACTAGGACTCCCCAGCTTCATGCAGAAATGCGGTGCTCCCAGTTGACAGCATTGCTCAGGGCAGTTCAAGGTGGGCCGCATTTTGTTTCAGATCGGTCCTTGCGAAAGATTGCACATACAAGACTGGTTGTCCTTCTGTGAGGAATCTTGCGTGCGGTGACGTGGCCAATGCTCTTGTCCTCATCCATCTTTCAGGCATATGGAGTTGACCATTCTGTTGCTGCCGAGTTGAGTTTGGGTAAGGCCATGATCTTGCTAAAGTGCAACACAGCACACTGCTGCAAATCATGCGGCAAGCGCCAATCTCATTTGCTGCCCCTTTGTTTCTGGGCTCGATATGAGCAAAGATCGGTCTTCATGCTCCCATCTCTTTCGCAACGAAGATTGATATTGAAAGACTGACTACTTGCGACCGTGTCCAGCACCATCGCCAGCTACAGGTGGGAAGTGTTTTTCTCGGCATTCGAATTACCCATCACCATTGGCTAATGACTACTATCTACCCATACTGCAGGCATGGAACGATTGAATCATGTAGATTGTTGCGAAGATCCGAATACACAGCTTCTTTCTCACTCAGCTTCAGGAATGCGGCTATCATAGTAAGCTGGCCTGATGCAAACCGACAGCGGCAAATTGGGCCTCAGACTCAAGCCACGCGGAGGCATCAACAACAGCAGAAATGAAGCTACAAAGGAATCGGTCCGACGCAGGTGTATGTGCAATAGGAATTCTTTCAAAGGGCTAGCGGCAGTTCCCAGCACGAGTACAGGTGCCATCAGAAACACCATGTGTCTCAAAGTCTCGTGCAATTAATGCCCAGGCGACATGCCTTGGGACGCTGTACTCTTCTCCTAGCACTTCATACTTCGTTCAATGCAAGGAAGCAAAATCCCGAAGCCTTTGCCAAAGTGACACTTGAACAGCTGGGTTTGTCCATGCTTGATTCGGCTAATGCATTTGCTTGCAAGCCTGCAAAGGCAATGTCAGGTCGACAAATATTTCTGAATTGCACAGGGGCATTGCACAAGGGTTGGCCGTTCCATCCACAAATTCAGCAGGGAAAGAGACTTCATTCCGCGATTTGATCTGGTGTCTTGCCAAAATCACAATCAGTCAGATTGACGCTCCCGGATGGTCCTAACATAGGTGACTGGGGATGGGGAGCAGGCACGGCTTCACAATGCCTTGTGGACAGCACCGATCCAATTCCAGACAGGTTGACGAAACGGCAGCATCGGAGGAAATCCCTAAACGAACTCGAGGACTCTCTGGGCCATTGCGATTATCCTGCTACTCAAGCACCTGCGGCGCTCGAACCCAAAAATAAAGCCGGCTGTGGCCCCAGTGCCAAAGCATCAAAGTGATAGGGCTCCGACTGCGAAGATGATCGTTGCATAGGCCTCATCTTGTCTCGTCAAGTCTAGTCTCAAGATCCAAGTAATAACTACAAAGTGCGCAAGGCGAGTTTAAAGTTTAAGAGCGGGACAACTTGGGCAAGCTGCCATCGCGCGGAACCTGCATAATCCAAAGCTTGTATCTGCTGGGCCACTCAGCTGGGAGAGGTCCGATTAACACAAGTGTACTGGGTGATCACACAAGTGGCTGGCTTTCTTGCAGGGGTGGTGGAAGCATGCAGCTGTACCCAGCGTTTGGCAGCCATTCTGCGCAAAATTACAACTGCCTGCTCGCCACTGGGACCTGAGAGAGTTGGACAAAGAATTCGCCGGCGATGTGGCCTCATATGAGAAGCTTTAGCTGGGACCACTTGGATGCGCCAAGGCTCGCTCCGTTTTGCTCTGGACACCCTCCATTCTTTGCAGTCGCCTGGCCAACGTCACGGGCATCAGCTCCATAGGCAAAACTGGCCAGACTGTGGCCAGCATCTGGTGGCTGGCCTTCCATTGGCCCGGGGCTTCTGGGAAGTGCCACGCTCTTAGCTTTCCAACCCAGAACCTCAGAGCCTGGGCTGGAAGCCCTGCTGCACATGTTCGTTCTTCAGGAGCAGCTAGCAGCGCTCAATGCCCTCGTTTGCAAGACTTCAGCCAGCAAGCACACATTCCTCTTTCTCGGTCAGGCGCCGTCCTCTGGCTTCTTTGTCCAGGTCTAGTGCTGTACACAAGCAGATGTCACCATCAAACGTGAGGCTTCAGAATGAAAGATGGTATGCATCAAAAATTCTGAGTACTAAGAGTCCGACAAGTGCTGTCTCACTCTTGCACTGCTGAGCGCTCAGGGCCAATGTGCCTGCTGCAGATTGAAGTCGGAGCTGGCAAATGACGAACGGGATCAACAAGCCAGAGGACTCAAGGCCCACATCTTGACTAGTCATCCATCGCGTTGTTTTCAGTCTTGATAGTGGCCTGAGAGCCTCAAACTGAAAGTTACTTGAGATGGCACAACCCCCCAAAACCGAACTGTCTTTGCTCGCTTGTCCATGTAGCCGACACTGGCTAGGAATAATGCAGACTTACGCGACTTTGTATCATCTTCTTTCAAACTAGTTTGCCCTTTCTCAAAATGGGCTACAAAGCGAGTCTGGGAATTCTTACCGAGAGTTGCACTACGTCAATGCTTTGCAACTGGTCACTATGCGCTTAAGCAGGCCCTGGGTCAAACAGGCAGTTGATACTCACGAGAGCTTCAAGCGGCACCTTGAAGAAATGCTTCCAGGAGTTCTTGGGCTGATGCGAGTCACACGCTTCTTTGGCCTGCGATGGGCAACATGTCTCCCTTTCTTTGCCACCTGACAATGGGTCACGAGCAAGCCTCTGCCTCCAATGGCAGGGCACCAGCTTGCGACCTTGAGACTTCCCAAACACATAATCATCACTGCAGACTTGGGCAAGGATCCTGACTTTGGCGTCTCATTGATGGCTTCGGTCTGACGGGTCGTACGGAGGTGTTACTTTCATGCGCAATATGTGCAAGTCTTGTGCGCCTCCTCTGCTATGGTCCATGCCCAGCGCCTCTTTGCCTCAATCACCTGCACAATTGGGACATCAGCACATCATTGCAATTACGGCTACAACAAGTCCCTACACCTCCACTCTTGCCAGGAAGTCATTGACCTGGCAACTACGCAGCATGCAAAACCAAGGAATTTCCTGAGAGGCTTTGGCATACATTTTCACCGCTTAGCAGGCTTCTTGACTCCCATTCAGCTTCTGGCTGATGATTCCGCCAGGTGGCAAACCACAGACGCATCGTAAAGACTCCTCAGGCCCTGGCCTCCAGCGTCCGGCCATTCGGGGCTACGCGCACCTCAATTTCTAGAATTGATTTGCACGTTTATAATGCCCACACGGTCACCATAGCTGGTGAGGCTGGTGCTAGAAGTCGACCGTTTTCTGAGAATAGCCTAACCTGCAACAAAAGACCTCATCCGCACGAAGCAAGACTGATTCAGACTTCATTGCCCTAGGCCTCAAGGGAGCCGTACAGGTATTGCAGCCCAGGGCTGTCATCCTCAGAATTACAAAGAAGCCTGTATTCACTGCACAAGGGCTTGGCCGCACCTCACGACAAACGTTGTGATGTGGCATTGCTTGCAGGACATGTGCCACTGTAAGTGTCTGCAGCCGGAGCAACTTCCGCCGCGCATCGTTTTAACATGTTGCGCTAACAAACTCTCTCGGAATTGGGCTTACAATGTTGCAGCCCCTCTCATCTAAGTTGGCAATGCCTTCCCTTCCCCAAGGTATCTTCCTACAGCAACATCTTCGCACGATCTGGGTGAGTGCTTCTGGCGTCACAACAAGAATGCCCACTTTTGCTCGGCAATTTCTCCAGCTGAAATCTGACTCTTGGCTTGGCACGGAGACATTGCATGGAACAAAGTTGGCCAGCCTTGGCAGCAAGGAAGAACTCCCGATTGTTCGTACACACCGTGTGTGTACTAATGGTGCCATGTGCTTGTGCCTTTAATTGGAACGAACCGAAATGCATGACTGAATGTTGCATGGAAGAATTCAAATCTGACAAACTCCATCCTGCCGGAAAGGCTTCATGGCATGATGGAGGCAGCTTCGTAAGCACCAAGAACGTGGCATCGGACGATTGTCTTGCAGTTCCCGCAGCCTCAGTTCAAACAAGTGCACACACTCCCCACGTCCGGACATTCACTTGTCTCGTGCATGCCTGCGGGCATCAGGGAGGAGCAAGATAGGGATGGTCAGTCGTCAAGCACAAGCCACGACAATAGTCTCCCCAAAAAACGCATGAGTCTGTAAAGGGAATAGGCGTGAGTCGGAAAAGCCATGAGAGGCAAGGGGTGGGGAAACAGAAGCGACTGGGGAAATGAAGGCGGGGCGCAGCAAAAAAATGGGAAGCGTGTTTCGGGAAGAAGAAATTTGTGTGTGATTGTGTTTGTGCGCCCCTCTGACTGCAAGACGAAGAGGGCCTCAGCTTCTTTCCTCCATTCGCAGTGCAAAAAGGCGTGTTGTTGAGAGGTGTTTCTTTTTGAGATTTCCCCTTGTGCTTCCTGAACCGCAAGGATTCTGCAAGGCAAAGGGTTTAACGCTGTGCCATATCATCATGACCGGCATATGTTGCTACTCCGGCTTCCGTCCGCTAGTGCTTCTTTCTTGCTTGCCAGGCAAAGGGTGTATGATTCTAACATGTGTATCTGCTGAATCATGCTTGTTACTGCATTCCCCTGATCCCGATGCAAAGCAAGCACGTTCACCTACTTGAGTGTCCAATCTTTGCTCTGTTCCTCCAATCGCGACATACAGGAGTAGCCTGCATGTTTGTTTGACGCATGACTAATGGCTTTCAGTCTGCCTCTGCGTCCTCTACAGTAATCGCAGAGCGAGTAGAGAGCTCCCTCTTGTCACTGCGTTCCTGCATTCGCAATGTGCGAACGGTGTGATTTTGGCATGTCTCGGCGCGCGTTCCGCTTGCAACTGCGTTCCTTGAATGGCATGGATAAAGGGGCCTTAGTCTTTGATCTGTCAACACTTAGTTGTGTTGCCACCGTGTTTCTTGATTCGCAGGGCGGAGGGGATGGTTTTACCACCGCATGCCTTGAAAGTCAAAGCAAACATTAAATAAGTGTATGGGGTGCCTTCAGCTGATTTCGCTGTTGCAGTTTCCGTTCCATCCGTGACTGCTTATACTGGTTCCTGTAATGGCAAGCGAACACGAAGAGGTGTTGGTTTTACACAGGACATGTGATTCTTGTGCTCTGCGCCTCCCAGGGTTTCAATGACAAAAGGAGCTTGGCTTCAATCAAGTTGGCTCATAATGCTCTTGGCCAAGGTTTTGCAACTCTCCCAGACGGGCCGAAGAAAAGAGGCACACTGTAATAAATGTAGCGATTCCTCGGCGTAATTTTCTTGCTGACCATTTCGTCCATCAGCAGGAGGAACTTGAAGGCACATTGGTTCCAGAGGTAAAAGCAAACAATCAGGAGACGGGCCTTAAGCTCACGGTGTTCCCACGGGCGATAAGAAGCAGGCAGGAAGAAGAACGCTGTCAGCCATCAGCAAACACAAACAATTGATGTGCTCTTGGCTTTTCCAATCATTGCCAAGTGGGTTCCGTTCTGGCAAACAATACATGCTACCAAACACCACCTCCCACTTGCAAATTTGTGTTACATGAGAAATGGCGGCCTTCTCTCAGATGCGACTGGATCCGCAAGCTTTCTGCGTCTTCTACTGCTGGCTTCGCATATGGCTGGCCATATGGATGTTTTCTAAAAGAGCTTGTATGGAACAACGCGCGAGCAGAAATCCTCACGCCCCGATCTAGAGGGTATGGATCAATGAGGGGTTTTTGGTTCCGCAACCCTAGCAGATGTTTGTACTGGTGCACGGATATTTGGAGAACAGTTTAAAGGTCTTCGCTTTCGATTCGTTAGTGTTCGGGACAGACAACCAACAATCGAATTTGATTCATAATCTTAGGTAAGGTTATTCTAGGATGGCTGCGGCGCTTCATAGGGACGCCAAAATGTGGGTGGCAAGATACTTGCACTCCTAGCAAGCTAAAAAGATAACCCTACTACAAAAAACATGTAATGTTTCTTTGCGATAAAATCGGTTTGAATAACATATAAAAAAGCAAGGAAAAAAAGAAAAAAAAATTGGCACATTAATTTGTTCCAGTGGCGTTGTTTAGCCACACAGAAAAAGTACAACAACGTTTGGAAATTCAAATGGTTCTATACCCTCACAGTGAGCGACAGGCTGCGATCCATACAGCACGGATCAACTGATACACTTCTTGTTCTTGGGGTACAGATCAGAAAGTTTCAGTTGGCTAGCAGGCCTATGGTTTGTAGGAAGCAGCCTAGAGGTCAACTGGTGAAGGCAAAGCAAAGAGTGGATGATTTACACACATTGCTTTGTCATGGTTCCCTTTGTCACCGTCTTGCCTTTGTACTTTGGGCACCTCAAGGGGCAGAAGCTTCTTTAGTGCTTGGAACCTGAAAGGAAACCCTCGGCTTCGTGTATCATCATGCCACTATGATGGAGGTGATCTTTGCCGGTTTCGTGGTTGGTTGCTTGACTCGTGGCCCTCTTTCCGAATTGTCTTGCTTGTTCATGACTCAGACGCTTCTTTTTCCTGGCACATCTTCCTGACTCGTGATTCTTCCGTTCGTCCCGTTGTGCCTTAATGATGAATCGAAGCATGGGCTCATGGTGCCCGTAGCTACGCAGAGGGCCATTGTAGACTTTGTAGATGGTCAGAGATCTGCATCTGCCGGTGTGAACGGGAAGGCATGGGGCCTTGTGGCCTGGTGGCAATCACAGCAGGCGTGCTGCGGTCCCGCAAATGCGCGCACAGATAGAGACTCACACGCAGCAGCCTACAAACGTCTGCAAGAGCTTGGCCTCATTTGCTTAGAGTCTAACTTGCGGGAAAACTTGAAAACTTCGGATAGAAGTGTTGTTTGATAGTGCCCACGGGCTTCCCGATGGCTCAAGCCAACGAATTTATAGAACGCCTTGGTTTCTTGTGATACGCGGAGACCCTGGAATATGAGGCCTGCATGGAACAAAAGTCCATGCCACTGGGACAACGGTCACAATTGTACACGTGAACAATCCTCTCCAAATTGCTGATGAATTGGCAAGCTGCCAATCCCGAATCCTGACAGATTGCTTTAGGATATCTCAATGTGCGCTCGTTCCTGGCTCACGCTTGTGCAAGCCTACAAAGCTGAACTGATGTGGCAAGGAGGAGCAGTGCTAGCATTACCCTCTGGTCGTCTTGCTCCCGCCCTGCCTCAAATCAGTAGCCTGTTATGTGAGACCAGATGCCAATCTTTGATTGGCTGTTCCAGGCATTCCAGCATCCGTGCACATGCTAGTTGACACTGGGCCCTCGCACAGTTCGGGCACGGACACAGATTGGTGCAGAGATGGCTCCGATGCCTGGCAAACTTTGTGCATCCCAGTGTGCTGTGGGATTCTGAGCAGCACGACTGTTCTTTCCGTGAGATCTGAGCCGTCAGCAGTGAGCTTGGCAGGTCTGTCTACTTCCGGCCCACTCTGACCAGGTGTCGGCTGGTGCCTCTGCAGCGTACATTGTGACAACATGTGGAATTGCAACATTTTGTGGCCCGTGACCAAGCAATCAAAGGGACTGCAAGACAGCTGAAGAGCCGAAGCCGCAACGTACAGAAGAGGAGCATCCTTAATTCTAAACCAGCATTGGCTGTGAGGGACTCTATTGCGCCATTGCCTACCTGGCTCAAAGTGCCTGCTCACAAGTGGCACCACCAACAAAATGTACCAAGAGTTTAAAAACAAGAAAATGAGAAGAGCACAAGAAAGCAGTCTGTTGACATTCAGGGTCAGCCTGGGGACGTCATCGGCCCCCGGCGTCTCGGATGTCTGAGACTCCGCCTCACCTAATCAACCATCCAGCGCACAAAAAAGAAAAAGTCTCGCAGTTCATATGTCCTTCTTCACGGAACACAAATCCAGACATGAAGGATTTGATGGCATCAAAGTTTGACTCACTTTGCTTGGTAATCCAAGTGAAGCAAATCGTCGTCTTTCCTCGGGGCTTTCCCATGGCTTTCATACTGATAGCCTGAGCCCGGCAAGTGGGACTGGCACTGGATGAGCCAAAAATTGGGTTCCTGTTGCAGGTTCAGAGGTGAAGCTCGCCAGCCTAACATTCAGCGGACAGTTTGCTGGGCTGCTGGGCAACTTTTGTGAAGGTGAAGGCGTTCAGCACTGGACGGCAGCTGTAAGGCTTGGAAATACTGGGTGAGTACTCTGAAGAACTTCGGACTGCAAAGCAGCTGCACTTCAGCCCCTGACGAAGTAAACGAGCTTGGCGCTGGGCTTCCTTGCTTGTGTATGCACACGCCACAAAATGCCATGATAACCGAAAGTGAAGGATAGAAATGGCCTGAGCTTCACCATGCCGACCTGCATACATTCCAGCTCCGTTTGCGCTTCTCTGCTTTACTTCTTCCCAAGGGATGCATCTGGCTGAGCCGAAAGCTCAGCCGTAGCACTACATCAAATTCCTCCGTGTGTGTGGCAGCATCAAACCATGCGGCCTAGACGAGCTTCGGCTGCTGCCACTGCACAGGCAAATCCCAAGGACGTGCTGCTGGTTGTGCTAGCAACCTGCAGCAAGAAATCGACAAGAAGAGAAATCTTTGACATTTCGCTGCGGCATGCATGCTCCACACCCACCCTTCCAAAAGACTTCTACTTCTTTAGTACAAACATGATGCTCAAATGACTTAACCCATGCCCGTCTCTGCCCGATTGTCTGAGATGCCCAGTGTGAACTGCAATGACGTAACTGGCCTCTGAGAAGGAGAGTCCAGACAAGCCGGACAGGCCTGAGCCGGAAGGTCCCGTCAATGACTCCTCGCAGGTAGGTCTGTCATTGGACTCATTGCTACAAATTTGCAGTGCCTCGCGTGAAAAGAGCTTGCCAACGCCAGTGCCTGACCAGTGCCCAAGTCACAGAGTCTCAATCAAAGCAACAATACAGCGTCTGTGTCTAGGCCTCGAGATGAGGGCTCACGGAGGGCTGTCACAAGCTCAGCATGACGTCGCTCAAGGATTGACAGCTGCCTCTGGTGGGCCTGTGCAGACGTGCTGTTTCTGCAGCGTGTGCCCAAGGATTCCAGGATTCTAAGGCCCGGTAATCTTTATTCGAGTGCTGAGTGGTTAAGGGCGCCTCGATCTGCCGCCGGTGCCTGGGCGGGCTGTTGGATCTGTTGGCAGGTACTCGGGAAACTTCAAGGTAGAGTATTCAGCATGCCGACACGCTGTTAACTCCCAACAAGGAGCATCTCCATTTGCTCCACAGCCCAAGCAAGCTCCTCTTCCAAAGCCGGCGCCTGCCACGGGCAAAGTGCTTGAATAATTAGAGTTCGGCAAAGCAAACCACGCGAAGGGAAATGCCAACACAACAAAGTTAAAGTCGCTACGATGAGATGTACGTCACAAGATGCCCTAGACAGCAGCGAGAGACTTCAGTGGACGATGCGCCTGTCGCGGTGATGCTGGCCATGGTGAAGCAGGCGCCTGCATCTTCTGTAACAGAACATGAGCCGTTCGCCAGCACCAATGGTGGAGAAAAGAACAGTGCAGGAAAATGCTTAATAAACGGGTGCTCTGGCCGCAAGCTGCCTGCGAAGGCGACCGAGAGCATTCCCTGAGCTTGAGGAAGATTTGCTGGAAGCCGCAGGACAGACTCAGGCCCGGGTCCTGGACTCTTCAGCTTGATGGCCAAACCTGTCGCGGGCCGCATTTCCACGGTTTGCATGCAGCTAGAGAAGGCGGACGTCCAGCTCAGCTTGCCCAAATGTATATACATATATATACATATATATATATATGTGTGTGTGTGCGTGTGTAGGACGGCTAATATCAAATGAAATGAGGTGAGACCCTTCTGTACAAAATGCACTTCGCTGTACGACCCGCGACGGCATTGTTGAGGACATGCTGTTCGCTTGGCTTGGCTTGGCATGGCAGGCCCGATCCCGATTGCAGCACCTTCCCATGACCGGAGCTCTCATCGCCTGGAGGCATTGCTTGCAGAACAGGTTTTGACGGCGGTAGGTGATTCTGAGGGATGGACTGCTGGACCCTTGCTCACTGGCAACCCACAGCCTGAGCACACGGCAACTGGCTTCAAACTGGAATGCATTGCGTAACCTGCTGGGGATGTGACGCTTGACCTGCGCACGCAGCTCAGCCATTTGCTTTTCCTACAGGTCTCGGAGTACACCCAGTACACAGAATACACAAGAGTTCCGTCTGTTGATATCAGTCCTTCACTGATGCCACAGTTCGGCCTTCCACTGACACTCCACTGTGTCTAGGTGACGCGGCCTCAACATCATAGCACTGCAAGACCATCCTTTGCAGCAGCCCTTGCGAACTTGACGTCCACCCATGCAAAGGACGCACGAAAGCCGATTCATCAACATCCATCCAGCTGCTTTGAATTTTTGCGGGGAAAAGCATACAGCGAGATCAACAGATTGTTGGAATACTTCACCAGGTCGTGCAGGAGTTGCTGCGGTGGTGGGCTGGTTCTGTGGCCGTGGAGGTGGTGCCTGGTGGTAGGAGCAGCTGCTGCTGCCGCTGCCCGCCCGCGAGTTGGTTAGCTGGCGGCATGTATCTAGGCCCTACCTACGTAAGCGACACAAGCGCATCCCCAAAAACCTGCTGAAGGTCCCGGAAATCCCAGCCAGGAGGCCATGTTTGGTCTCCGCTCACAACTTTCACGTCGTGCCTTGTCTAACAGCTTCCGGCCTCATGGCCTAGTTTCCGAGCTGCTCTTCTTTCCTTGAACCCACCGCGATCTTCCCCGGGCAAACATGCTCACACAAAAGGCTTTGGAGTCCACAGACATCTTCCGGCTGACCTAAAATAATGCTGTGCTTTTACCTCCCGCATATCGCCACGTGCTTCCCCAGTTCCTTCTAACCTCCCTCTAACAAAGGTTTAGAAGTAGCAACTCATCATAGCCCTCACAGGCTGTTTGGTCCAGTGCCATGATTTTCTCTCAGGATTCGAGAGGTCCTGGGTTCAATTCCCAGAATAGCTCTTTGATCCTTGCCCTATTGTCGCCTGTAGGTTAATCGTTTTCCACCTTGTATGGTGTATGCTAGGAATGTCGACAAGATGCACTGCTGTGCGTTTTAAAGCAAGATTCAGGACGACCTCCAAACCCAACCACGAACCAGCGGGCCGAACCGTAAGAAACCGAACCGCGGTAAGGTTCCTATTCAAAATCCTGCGGCTTGCAGCATTTAAAGGTACATGGGTTTAGGACGTAGAAATTCAAGGTGTGCTACACAATACGAAGCCATATACACCCTGGCAGCTGCCATGCAGGTGGCAGCTGCTCCGCTGCGATGACGTTTGCTAGCCACAGATGCCGTCCTGCCGCGCAATTGCCCCCATTCCCCACCAAGATGAGTAGGCGAGCTAGACCTGTAACAATGTTTTTTTTTCTCGTCTTCTTCCCGCCACTTAGGAAACTAGCGTTTCGGAATGTAGGCAACCGTCAAAGCTGTATAGAGGGTGGGTTCCTGACAAACCGAACCAAATAGAACCATGGCCTTCCTGCAAGATCGGCCCTCACAATCCAAACATGTGGGATCACCATTTTTCCCAAGCAACAAACCCCAGCAAACGTAAACAATGAGCCCTGCGAGTAGGACTTCTCGGCCAGGGTACCGTGGAATCAAAGCGTTGGAACGGTTGGAACCGTCTGCCACATCCCCCCAAAATCCGCCAAGCTTTGTCGGCCCTTTTGCAGGTTTTACGTCATCGATTAGATTCGATTGGCCTTCTCTGGATTTCAAGTTTCAGAGCCCACTCAATGTTTCGAATACAGTAACTTGGAAGGGTTTATTCCTTGCCCGCGCACTTCCAAAATGAAAATCAATAAGTTATCAACCCTGGGGTTGGAAAAGGGTGGTTTGCTACCCCCAAAGGAACACGACTCCATGCACCATGATTGTCTTTGCGTCTGAGGTGGGTGCGGTTGCGTGCAAGGCTGGGATCGTCCCCTCGCGTCGAGAGCGAAGGTGCTGCTGAAACCAACCAAAGGTTCCTTGCTCAACCAAAGAGAGTCGGCAGAGTTCCGGTGCCTCGGATCTCCGTGCTATCTCCTGACCGTTTTCCATCAACTGCTGTGAATGCCCCTTTTTGTGTCCCGAAGTCCTTGACCCGCTGTATTTCAAAGGTGGGCATTGCTGCCTGGCACACCGCAGCATATCTGCACACACGTACGAGACCGCTGATGCCTTGCCAATTGATCCAACACCGTTGCGACCAGAAGTTGTCGAGACCGGCTTGGACCTGAGGGTATCAATACCGCATTTTTGAGCCACTTTCGACAGCCCAAGCTGAGCAAAGGGCATGAACATCGTGGCGCCTCACTCAGCTGGAAACCAAGACGAGCAGTTACCCTCAGGTCACATAGCATCAGTCTCTGAGAGGTGCACTGGAGTCGCTCAATGGAACAGCCCTGCAACAGGAGCACATGGATCATGGGACTCACCAGCTTCACCATTACAGGGTTGTAGTGAAGCAAAAGCTCACGCCACATTAGGCCTGATATGGCTTGGATTGGCTTCGTGTTGCACTCCCACAACTACAACACACACACACGCACACACATATATATATATATATATCTGGAAACATCTCTATTCTTCTTTTTCTTCATGTATAGTTTTTTTGCTGAGGAGACCCGGAGTAGTGAGGACAGAGAGGAAACAATGATATTCCCAAAGCGGTAAAAATCCTGCATTAGGTTCATAGACTTCCTCAAACATGGCACGGCTTTTTACTTCCTCCCTCTCAACTCATTTGTGAACCTGAGAAATGCCTGCACTGGATGTTTGGACGGCAACTAAAAAAGAGAAATTTCTCTCTCACCCTCTTTTTCGCGAGCCGTGGTGGGCCTCACCCGTTGAGCCTCAGAATCTGATAGTTAGCAAGGTCTGCGGTCGCCACTGCACACACATGCCTTTGAGCTTGAGGCTGATTTCGGAGCCGGCTTTACTGCAGCTGCCTTCGTAGAAGTCACCCTGAGAGCAGCCAAGAAGGACAACATGAAGTGCGGACAAATGAGGTAATGCACTCCAAGGAAGTCCTGGGGCCGCCGCAAACGCGGTCGTGCAACTCCTGCCACACGCAGGAATGTGAGGAGTTGCGGGTAAGTATGGGTAAGTGCTTCTGGCCACTCCTCCAGCGACGCGTTTCGAAGTCGGGACCTAGCGAAGGGCAGCGGACAAAGTGAGCGCTCAAGTGTAGTTGTTCTGAATGCAGCGCAAGCCTCTGCAGGTGTTCCGAGCCTTGCAACAAAACATTGGAAAATCATGTGTCAGACAGCGTGACAGAATCCAAGTCAGGGGTAAGCTGGGCTGTGTATCCACAAGTCGTGCCAAGACATACCAAAACTCTCGAATGCTCACTCCATCCCATCACCAAAGTTTCAGCCCTCGAAGCTCTGTCCAGAAGCTGATCAAGGCTCAGCTTCTGCAAAGAGAAAGTCTGCAGTGCGGGAGAGGCAGAGGAAGCAGTGCAGACAGGGCTCTGCGCTGTCTGCACTCGACGTTGAATCGAGGAAGTTGTAGCAGCTCCGACCAGTGCAGCGGGAGCCATAGCGGCACCTTCGGCTCGACAGCTCAGCCGAATGCGAAGAAGCACAGTAAACGTCCTTACTTCGAAGGGTAGTAATAGGCCTTCCACCGGCAAGCTCAGCAAGCGGTCCCGGCTGTTCGCATGAAGCGCGCAATGCCCGCTGGAATCAGAATACTAATCTGCTAAGCACATGAGAAGTGATGCTGTTGAAGTGATGCTTTTGATGCGACGACCTTCTTAGATGACAGAGCATGTCTTCCCGCAGCCTAGCTGCCATCTTGGGCAAAAACAACATGCATGATCGTGCATAGACACCTGCGTATGGCATCAACAGGCTTTTGTTTGCAAAGGGATCACAGGGAACGCCGGATATCCGCGAGCTTTTGCAAACCTAGCAAAAACACCAAGCGCTACACTGCTACTACACCTTCAGAGATTGGGTCACATCAAACAAGTAGCCCATCCATTTTACTGCGCCTTAGACTTTGGCCCAGAGGCAGCACAAAACATCATGACACAGACGGAATTGTCAGCACCCGCAGCTGGGGCGACGGTTTTCATGCGTTTCTTGCAAAATTGCTTGACTGAGGGGGTTCCTGGGCAACCTGCGAGGGTTGTCTCCCGTCAGCACACCACACACTCGCATGTGAAGACTTTCGCCTTTCTGACGATCATACTGCCGAACAAGGGGGAAGACTTGCCTCTTGACAGGCGAAATAGCTTAGCCACATTCAGGCTCTACATGTACACGACGTTGCCTACCGCTGCTCCTGATTCCTGTCTGAGCTTCCTGAAACCTCCGGCGCGTCGTCCTGCCCTGACGGGTGTCCCACTGAGCCAGCGACTGCAACAAGTTTGCCTACCCCCGCAGATCCCCGCAGAACCCTCAGCAATCTGCGCAGTTGCTGTCATTTTTCTCCACATCAGACTCAGTAACTCCACCCGTCCCGCGTCTACCGCAATATGCCGCAAGCGTGATATACATCAGACGGCAATTCTTTGGAATCACCATCGTGCTGCAGAGCTGCCAGTAGACTTTCAACTTGTTCTCGGAGCTTGCTGCTAAGAGTGACACTCTACCGGCCCTTGACGTGGAAGGATCTGCATTTGGTTCAGCGACAATCGTGGCACCGTCATCTCTGCGTTTGGTCGAATACTTCGCATGCTTCACATCCGAAAAAATTGCATCGCACAATGTCGTACTACAGCGGCTTGCGAGCCAACATGTATACCTGCAATGGCCAGTGGGAGGTACCACCCATGATGGCCTCCTCGTTCCAGTACGGCGCTGTAAGGCCTAAGAGGTATCCAGCAAGCTCTCGCAAGGTGCCGGGCGCCCAGATCTCTAAAACCTCAAACCCAGCGTCCTGCACGGGTCAGGACCCCTCCGATGGCAGGAGCATCAAATCCCAAAGACGACAACGACGAGGCGATGACGACAACGACGACGAGGACGAGGACCAGGACCACCACCGCCGCCGCCACCGCCACCACCGCCGCCACAAAGAGGGAATGCCGTGACAACAACACTAGCTTCATTGATATTGATCACAGTCAGAATTGAGGAGAATCATGAATGTAATTGTTGACACGCAGAGAACAGCTGTAGCAAGACATGGCATAAGTCTTAACCCGTGGGGATCCTAGCCAGGGCTAGAAAACCTATAATAAGTATTGTATATGGAAAAAATATGGAAAATATGAAAACCTTAAATCTTGAAAATATGGAAAAATATGGAATAAATATGACCCAAAATGCCCCTACCAACAGGTTTACTCCGAACAATATCCCTGGGGTTTAGTTGGGATCGCTGTGCTGACAGTCTGCCTGCAATCTCTGTGCACAGTCAAGTGGTCCAGGTCTTTTTTCTCGCTTCCGTCCCTACAAGTCTGGTGTTTTGCTCGGATCTCTGATCTCTGGCAGAGACGGAAGCCTGACATTGAGGGATGGAAAAATTTCACTTTCGCCTGTCATGGCTCATCAAGTTTTTGGCTACCTCAAGTACTGTACTCTTGTCTTATCCGTTTATGATTTCATTTGATTTCGATTAAATGGGAGAATCACAAAAGGAGGCGGTTCTGGGGGCCCTCAGAGAGCCTCGGAGAGGCTCTCCATTCCTGGGGAGGGGCTGTCTCTGCCCATATTGTTTTCCATATTTTTCCATATCGTTTTCCATATCTGTTCCATATTTTTCCATATTTTCGGGAATCTGGGCCCCCTAGGAAAATATGGAAAAATATGGAAAAATATGGAAAACAATATGGAATTTGGGAATTTATTGTAAAAATAGGGAAAAATATGGACACCAATATGGAAACCAATATGGAATTCGCTCAGGTGGCTGTGCTGAAGGGGTCCCACTTCGCGTTCATAGGGCTTCGGGTAGATGAGAAGGGCCTAGTCTCAGACCCCTAAAGCACTCAGACTTTTTGGAAAGCTCAGGCAGGTCCAACATTGTCCCAGTGTTGACTGGTGAGCTAGTCACAGCTGTTCTGCCTAGATGGGCCTAAATGCACTCCAGATCCACCCAAACGCTGCCCTGCAAATTTTCTCCTTGAGTTTTTGGAGGAACAACAAATTGAGTGAGAGTTATGAAGATTCCTTCTGAGACAGATGGACACTGATGAAACTGCTCAATTT